AAAGGTTGTTCGCCTGTGTTCGTCGGTGAGTGCCGGGACAATTTGTTTTGGGTTGCCGGGTGGTATGGTTAGCTGGATGCTATCCTGATTGAATTTTGTACTTTTAGACCCAGACCATCTTGCTGACAACTGCACATCGCCTTGTGTCATCTTGGCTGATTTAAACCCGCTCTTTACATGCTTGCCAGTTCTACGCCCTCTGTTCTGTCCACGCTGAGATGCTTGGCGATTTTCACTGCCTCAGCCACAAGTCACTGTTATGTGAATCTTAGTCCTCGTCTCAGAATGTCCACATTTTCTAATTTTATGCTGTGTTCAGTGTCTGGTGCATACCCTGCCATCGCCTGATATTTATCTACGACTTTCGGTGCTGTGTTAATGCACTGCTTATGCTCATTGATTCTGGTACGCCATTCCCTGGCTCTCTGACCAATACAAGACTTTGTAAAGTAATTACATTTTATTTTGTATACACAGCTCCTAGTCCTACCAACCAGAAGGTGATCCTTCAACTGCACAAAAACTGAGTGTAAAGTCTTCATCTTCTGTAATGCTACTCTAATGTTAGCGCATTGAGTACCCTTCCAATGACTTCAGATGCCCGCTTTTGTATGGAGTGACTGCTGTGCCGACCCACTCTTTGTTGGTATTCGGTGCTAGGACCGCTTTATTAAAAGTACAAAATCCAATCGGGATAAGATCCACTAATCTCTACTCCATCCCGCAACCCAAAACAATTGTCCCGGGCACTCACCGACGAACACAGGCGAACAACCTTTGTAAATGGCCCCTAAAAGGAATATTCCATTAAGATGTCCTGGACCGGAAAAGCAAGGCCGCGAATCCAGTCATCTCCACCAACCAACAAACAAAAACGTCAAACCGACACCCAGTACTTATCAAGTCGGCTCATCATAAGAAATCTCTCGAACTGGTTCCCTTACTGTCTTAAAACCCGATCGACCTGGTTGCTTACTCACTTGGCCTAAGGAAGCTTTTGTGTCCAACGTGAAACGTCGCCCAGCAATAAATCCACCGATTGTATACCAAACCTTTCTGAAACTTTTTGGCTTCCCGCGAAGAAACTTCAACAAGTAGGCTCGGGGACGTTGTTTTGTTCCTCATCGTGAAACCCCTTTGTAGTTGCTGGAGTATCCGAGATGCCACCTTCCAAGCAGCTCTGGGAGATGAGTAACTATACACATCATGGAGTGCTGTTTATTGGGGGAGTAATGTAGTTCTAGTCTGAAACCTAGGCTTATCGGTTATAGTGACAGCTGTTACACATATAGAATATTACTGATTCTGAAGTTATAATACTTTTAACAAAGGATGGCTAGCCAATGGCCTGTAGTTGCATCCAGACGCATTATTTGTTTAAGGTTAGTGTAGATTTTGTTCTGTAAGCTGAAAACCTGCACAGGTTTCAGGACCTTGAGTCTAAGAACCAACGCGCGCCTTAACTGTGACCATCCAAATCAACTGTGAGTCTGTATCGTAATACTACATTTATCGTCACCTGGAACAACCACCTACGGTAACCGGAAAAGTGGACATACCTCTGGACTCATGAAACTCTAGCGCTGTCGCAGCATCTGCTCCGAATGAAAAGTAATTATTGAATATTTTCAGTGGAAGTGTTGTGCTGAGAACTCGGTTTCTTGCCCCATCCTCAGCATCGTTGTCGGTAGATGTCACGGCCACATCGGAGCGGGGTTCGCAGTCCACATGCCATCTTTATGAAGAGAATCAGGAAGAAGTAATCTCAACGAGACGAAACAGAACACTATGGTAAGAAATGTATTCGCTTGGTAAGTAAACGTATGCGGGTATTGAGAAGCCGAGTGCTGGGTGCTTATTTAGGTTATGGCGACAAGAGGGCTTCTTTTGAAATGATTTCTCATTTCGCCTTGCTACATGGTAGACTGAAACAGGCTTGCCTGCCCATATTTGATAATGCAGTTGCATCCAGTGTGCTTTCGTAGTGTAATGGAAACAAGTTTGCCTTGCTTGTCAGATTTCTCGGGTTCAAGTCTCGGGAAGGCCAAGGATGATGAGTTTTAAGATGGGTTTTATTAGGAGCAAGGCATGGGTACATTGCTTCCCTGCTTTGGTGCGGAATCACAAGAATAAGTGCGCCATGATAGAAGGATGACTATTTAGACGAGAGTGATGTGGATGCGAAGTTTAGTTGTTTTTTATGCACTGAGCAACATCATTTTGTGTTTTTTTTCATCGACGGAAAAATGATTTCGAGTTAGTATTGAAATCAATGAGGTGAGGGATGTTGTGGCAGCTGGAAGTGTGGGAGTGCAAATTTTGACGGCTGGAGCCATTGTATGAGCTATAAACGGCTCATATGTGATTGTGATAATGTTGTTCTTGATAGTTTTCTGTTTAAGACAATGATGAGAAAAACGGCGGTGATAAAGCAGAATATGGTAGTGATGATGATGGTGATGATGACGACGGCGGTGATGAGCACCCCCTACGTAAGGGCTTCACAGATACGTCAAGGTAAATAACTAACAAATTGGTTGATCAGGCTCAAATATGGAAGATCTGTTTCAGAGACATCGATAGGACTGATTTACAATTAGAAAAGATTTCAGCAATGGTGTATGTCCTTCGCTTTCTGTGAAGTAACAAACAAATAAGATAGTGGGATTGGTTTACCACACGAAACCTACTTACTCAATTATCTTCAGCTGTGTTTTAACCCACTGGACGCTTCCGAATAACACCGATCGATTAAAATAGAATCTGAGATCACATGACTATACGGTCGGTTTCTAAAAGGTTAGTGGGGATTTCTGGAACTTCCAGCCCAAGTCCACAAATACGGCGTTTGGAAATCAAATGAGGCCGATCTGAAGAGTCCTTCATTGCTCATCACCAAAGTGGATTTGCTACGCTATTTATCTGGTGAGCAGCATGGTCCGCTTGGTTTCAAACCATACTACAGGGAGTTTAAAATAGGAAGGTCCGGTGTTTAACATCATAATTTTGATTACGTTATAATATCCAGTCAGGTGGCTAACGATCAAAACGCGTTTAAACGTCTTATTTCGTCTACCGTCCCTTCCAATGTCCCACATGACGAAGGTGAACTACGGTGCTAAGCTTGGATGCAAACTAAAAAACGCAGATTCATATACGAGATTATTGAGTGCATTGCCACTGGCTACTACGCGGGTTGCCTCCAAAGCACACCATGCAGGTTGCCTAAATCAAATTGAAACATGTGAAGAGCGGCAGAACATTATATCTCTACACTAACATGTCGTCTCCTTGCTCGTGTGGGCTGAAATATGGGATAGAACTTGCATACTGCCGGCATGATAGCAAGCTGAGAAATTCTGTCCTAAACTGGTACAAGCTATCATAAACAGGTGGTCTGTTCCTCTAACATTACCGGCAATGAAGTGGCCACACGAATAAACGAAATTTCTCGGACCACACACCAACATCACCCACATTATTCGTCGAAATTCCGGTTGAATACATAGAGTCTGGTTTCATGATGTTGCCAGCTGGTGCCTGTTTTTCGGCGCAGTACTTTAAATTTCTGAACAGCAAAAGCTGGATTGTTCAAAATAATCTCATTGTCCTCAAGCAAAACAAACGTCACAGAGATTGATAGCGGTAGCACCGGCTCGGCAGTTTAGCATGCAAATCAACCGTATGTTTGCACCCTTTGATATCAGTCAACGTGTCCCAATATCAGCCACACGCGCAAGGTCTTAGGAGCCGGATCTAATCCCAAAGATGCAGCTGAGTTTCTTGAATTAGTACAAGTTTTCAACACCATGAGCAGGAAAGTGTTCATTTACACTATCAAAGCCAGATTTACCAGTGCTCCGGGTAAGCGAAGCTCTATATTTCTCAGGTACACACAGTTTATCCAGAAAAATTCCCTCAGGCAATTCGGCCAAACGTGATCTCTATTAGGTCCCTTAGGTTAATAGTATGTAATAGAAATAACTGTGACGAGAATTCCTTTCAGATTCGTCCTGTTAGACGAATTCAGGATACAAATATGAAATGGGCAGGTGGGGCAATTTCCACATACGATCGTCGTCAGAGTGGTTTTTTGTCAGGGGCAGACTGAAGAGGAAAAGCGAATCCAACCAACTAGTCACTCATCCCCAGGGAAAAATAAAAAAAGATAAACAGTTTGCTTCATTATGCTGAACGGACAATAAGATGTTTCGCACTGGAAACCTTACCGGTGCACCTTCGAAACCTCAGGTAGGCTGAGCAGAGTCGCATGCCCTCTTAAATACTTTGTTTCAAGACCTACAACATTGTGTAGCAAGGGGCGCAACCGCCTGCTGAGAGTTTCTAACTAAATGAGTCCAACCACAGTTTCACCATAATTACTGCAAGCAGTTAACAGGGCGAGTTATTACTATCAGAAAATTCACAGAAAATTTGACGCATAACCGTTACCCAGGCTCACTCACAGAGAGTGACCAGATGATCATGCAATACTGTCAAATTTTAATTGTTTGAAAGGACTAGTAATGCTCTCAAAACGTCTTTTCCACGGGATCCCGGTGTTTCAATGCCCAGTTCCGCACATTCAGGTAAAGCATCGGCAGATAATGAAAACTGCAACTAAGATGGTCAGGATTGTCCCCAAACAACCCCAGTTACCTAAAATTACGTTTGAACATCCACTCAAGTAAGCAGTCAAATTACTGTATTGGGACATAGTGAATCGCCGCCCAAATTATTCTACTCAAATTTGTGGTGACCTATTGTTTAGGTCCCTGAAAATTTCATTGAATACATTAAATACATCTGTACACAAACGATAGATCATTAGCATAATGCAGTTTGTCCAAGAGATTTCCAGAACAATTACCAGCCAATCAAGTATAGTTTTGTCGCAGTGACAGTGAACTTACCTATCTAGTGCGACAATATCGCCATGTTCAATGCTCCGCAAAATCTTTGAAATCGGTTCATCGGCATAACCCTTGAGAGGAATAAAAGATTTTCATTCGTTGGTAAAGAAGATGGGTAAGAAATCTCTTATTTGTAAGCGGTGTTACTTCAGAAATACCCTATGTGGAAAAAATGTTGAATAACCTTGATGAAATGAAGATGCATCCTGGGAACAGCTCAACGCAAGGGCAAACACAAAAACCGAAAGTATCGAATACGAAGGATGCACAATGTTGTGGGCAAAAGTGGCCGATCTGGGGTCAGACTTGAAGGGATCAGGTAGTGGAGATAGTTTGAGGGTTAGGGTTTGTCTTTTTCACAAAATATCTTTTACCATTTGTTAGATTTACCATCACACAATAAAGGACAAAGGTGTGTAGCCAATTTTGTCTGACAAAAGTTTCAAGGAGTTCCACCACTAGCACAGTTGTCACTCACTTGGCTGTAAGAGTTTTGAATAATCCCAACGGCATTTTTCTTACACTATGCCAAGCACCTATCCAGGTACCAAAATCCGCCCAATATCGACACCTGGCCACAGCTGGGGTGATCGTGACTTCTTCACCACACCAAGGAGCGTTCAATAGACTATCTGACCACAGCTATGGCAAGCGTATTCACTCACGCAACCAGTGTGTACTCAGAAGACGTTTATACGCGTATTGATTCTTTCATGGTTTACCCGTGTGATCTCAGCTAATTCAGGCCAGTCAATCATGATACAAATACTTTCCCCACTTTTACGTGCATACTTCGCTTCACCCTTGCTTTGCTTATTTGGTTTGTTCGCTCTTCGTTTTGTAATCCCTTAATCTGTATTGATCAGAAGAATAGGTCGCAAAAATAGTATTCATCGACTTGTGTTTTTAATGGTGTTGACCTATTTATAGGGATGATGCGTGTGCTCATTGTTCTAGAGGTTTGTGGGTTATGCACCGATGAGTATTACCAGGGTGGATGAAACAGCAATATTTGCCTGGGCGGACTTCATTTGCAGGGCAAAGTCTTCTAAATAATCCCATACATTGTTGGATAAGGGCTATTCAGATTTACTCCTCCAAGAGGGTGGTACTGATAACCTTGCTTATCCAGCCGGTGCTTGAAGTGGAAAGTGGCTGCAAACAATACTCACAGTGGTCTTGCCTTAGTTCCGCATCTCGATTATTTGAGTCAGTGGTCAAAGATACTGAGGTTAAGGGGGTATGTTGTATGCTGGCGATAGTGTTCATGGGTTTTTCACAGTATTCTTTTCCTTGCTACAAGCCTTCTGAGCGGCATTTCTGTGTTAGGTGACAGCAAGCGCTTTTGCTGGCGTTACCAATGATACGTTAGATGGTGATGCTCTTGATAAACATGGTGATTTCACATTCCACGAATTATCAGCTAACTGGCCATTCTTGTGCCGAATTAATAGAAGGGGATAAATGCAGTCAGATACCATCGACTATCGGACAGTACAATACTTACCGCACCCCAATGAAGAGTTCGAGCTAAATCGTTGCCCGTACCCAGAGGGAGTACAGCCACAGGAGGCATTGGAGATAAACCGAGTTCCTCGATTGTCGAAAGCACCCAGCCAACCGTCCCGTCACCACCGCAAGCCAGAACTCTAAGGTTTGGTACACGAGCAAATAATTCTAACCTGCAAGAACAAAGAACCGCAAGTAACGTCGTAAGTTCACGTATACACCCCACAAGATACCTGGTAAAATGTATAGGGAATGAAATGGACGTGTTTTACGAGACAGCTCTTCCTATGGGCACACTTTTTTGTCATTTACGTTTGATCCGTTTGCTCCATCAGATGCGGTATCTTATTGTATCTCAACGTTTACCGTAAAACAGAGAAACATGCTACTGAGGTTTCTGGTTGTCTAGTTTGAGATGGACGGGACAGAAATGATGGGCACCAAAAATCAGTGTAATGCTAGCGGGTTAAACGAAACCATAGAAGAACACAGAGATGAGAGACATTTCGTAATGGCTTGATGTGTCGTCAGTGGAGAACTATCAGTTAAAAAAATAAAACGCTGTTATTCTTGGTTAATCTTCCATGAATACACCAGGCATTTCTAGTTATTGAACTCCCGTAAAAGTGAGGGTAAGGGAAAGGGCTTGTTTCAGTAAAAAACAAGTTCCTTCTGGGACCAAAAGGCTAACGAGAGCCGGTTTAATTTGCATGTTTGTCCAGTCCGCTCTCGTCTGATATTTGGACTATCAGGAGGCGAAACAGACAGTGGAGATCAGTTGGTCACTGGGATGCTGAAATTATATGACCAAACTGAACAAATTCTTGCTGAGTGCGACATCCACTGGCAACCAAATTCCGCGGACTGAAAACATGGACACGCGATGAACCAAATGCATTCACTTCAATGTTGTCTGATTCAAACTTCCTGAGAAAAAGTGAGACAGTTTGAGAAAACCCTGTGTTTTCTGTGAGCGCAGCCAAATTTAATAAGTAATTGAACAGTTCCGCTTGATGGTCTTCCCTCTGTTTTTTTTTCGTGATAACGTTTGTGGATAGACATCCACTGGCAACCAAATTCCGCGGACTGAAAACATGGACACGCGATGAACCAAATGCATTCACTTCAATGTTGTCTGATTCAAACTTCCTGAGAAAAAGTGAGACAGTTTGAGAAAACCCTGTGTTTTCTGTGAGCGCAGCCAAATTTAATAAGTAATTGAACAGTTCCGCTTGATGGTCTTCCCTCTGTTTTTTTTTCGTGATAACGTTTTGTGGATAAAAATATTGATTAGAATTGAATTGGTGAAAAATCTCGACAGTATTTGGGGGCAAAAAAACACTAAACCACCGCAAGACTGCCAGGCCAAAATAAATGATGCTTTGCCCGAAAATGTTCTAACTAAGCCTGCCATCGGCAATGAGCTGGACACAGTGCAATGTATGTTCTGGACCTAAAACATTTTGATCTAAGCTGGACTTTCAACTCCCTGCTTAATCAGGGCCACTGATAGCCCGACAGAACTGTCCCATATTGGGAGACGAACGGATGGGAATCTTCCTTGTTTTGAGGTTGCACAAGAGTGTGCAATTTTTTATGTGCCGTCCGATTCTGTATCAGATTTTGGATGTCATTTCTCTTGCGTTTATAAAATGTACAAATTCAACGGCGACAGTGCGGAACAAACGTGACCCAGAAATTTCCATGCCAGGACTCTAGATACACTCCAAGGTTACCAGTATTGTGTACACTATGGAAACTTGTAACAAGTGATTTATTTGTCTGGCCATTTTCTTGTGAAAGTGGTATGCTATGAAAACTAGGTACCGACTGAGTGTTCTATGTCTAAGTTGGAGAGGAAAACAGGTGGTAAATTTTTCTTGGTATAGCTTCTTATACATTCCTCTTAATGTAACTCGTGGGGAAGAATTTGAACGTGATATGATTAGACTGACTTAATAGCCATTGTTGTAGCCCATCTTGAAGCAAGTATGCTGCAAACATCGAGAGGATTTTGTGAGGGGGTTTGGATGTGCTGGAATATCAGTCTTCGTTTATCGAAGGGCAGAACTTCAAGCGGTGATTTTCGGTTCCTTTGTAGAAACCGGAGTTGGGATACATTTGACGGTACTTGGTTGTTGGTCTGTTCGCCGAGCTTGGTAGTTGGATTGCAAACGGTACACAGTTTCTAGCACGTCACCACGGCTGCCGAAGAATATGCACTGGTTAACCATTTGCCCAAAAGCTCTGGTATATCAGTAAACTTAGACTGTGTACTACTTAGACTTACATCGTCGCCCTGATGTGTCGGACTGGTTAATTTATCCTTTTGACAAATTGTTGTCTAATCTTCCGAAAAAGAGTGAATGATAGTTGAAGCTTCAGGCATTCAGACAGCTGAACATTTTTTGTGGCTTTGCAAGAAGATGCCAAATCAGTCTGACATCCGTCTGACATCTTAGCTTGATAGCGACTTGTTTTGCAATAAATGTCGGTCAGTCCATTTTCGCTAACCGGTCAGGCAAATATCATATGCCAGAAGCTTTGATATTTGTGCAGCGCAGCACTGACGATGGTGGGGCAACTTTTATGATACATCAAAACTAAAACCGGTCTGACTAGAGCTACTCCTTCGTTCAAAAAAAAACGTATTTGAAAGGCAACTGTTCTTCAAGAGCACATTTGGAGGGGGCTGGAAATTCGCTTCTAAGTCGGAACTAGTAGGTCTTGTTATCGTGAGTCTCTTCCGAGAGCACTGGTATATTATTCAAATCGGGTAACTTGTGCATGGTGTGTGTAACGTTCCATGCCTGAAGATCGCTAACTGCATTTGCAAGTAATTAAGCATACGTTAAAATAATTGTGTAACCCCATTGACATTAGTAACAGTTCGGGGCACGAAAACACTGTAACCTGGATTAACTTCAGTGCGTGATTTTTCGCCGTAAAGATTAATCAAAACAGGGTTGTTTTATGGCAGATTGGACTGAGAAGATGGGTGCAATCCTACTTGGGGCTATAACACCATCATGATCAATCTAAAGACGCCTAGCAGTGCTCCAAATAAGGTATACGATCCCACACATTAGTCAGCTCATAGATACTGGGATCGTCGTTCGTGAGGGTTGTTGATCACTGTACCTGGAGAAAACGAAAACAAGTGGCCCGTTGTATGTGACATCATCCAAAAATTTAGCCACTGGCTTGGATACGGTTGATAAGCAAGAAATGCAGCATGTTTTGTTGATGTGACAAACGACGGAAGTTCCGTAACAGTCCACTGAGGAAAATTTCCATTTCCGGCTCCCGTATGTCTAACGTTGACACTAACGTGGACTTTCAATTCCGTGTAACTCCAGTTTAATGCTTAAGCTTGCAATAAGCCTGATGAACTATGTCAAAAAAGAAAGGATGAACTCATCATCGGAAGTTCAACGAAATAGTTTTTGTGAATATGAATCCCCTTCTCCAGTCCCGTCAGGCATTACAAAACTCTGAACAAGAATTGTGTGCAATTCGTGATATTCTGTAGGTAAAACGGCCATAGAAAAGGATGCTAGCTGACATACCAAATAATGTACGGTGATAAAATATCAAAACGTATTTGCATGAGATGCAGCACAATACAAAACGTTCATCGTCACTTACCCCATGCGCGGACCGCCCTGGGATAAGTCAAAAACTTGTCGGGGATTGAGCAACCACTGAAATTTCCGAAGCAGCGAAAATCCCTGATTGCCGCCTGATCTTGGATTGAGAAATACTAGAAGTGGTTTTTGTTTCACCGCAGTAAGCGGGTTCGGTTTAATCACAAACGGTAAGTTCGGCGCCAGGATTAAACTGGACAGGCCCGTTGACGGTGACACACGGCCATCTGTCAACGATGCAACGCGTAATGACTCAATCTCCTCCGCACTTGGCTGACCCAGATGGTCCGGCCGAGAAACAGATGTCACAATTTGAGATCTGGTATGTTCCAGATCATTGATAGGAGGACATATTAGACTTGAAGTGCGCCTGATGGAAGACTTGAATGTGTTCTGGAACGACAGAGAATACAGCGCGTACGAGATAAAGGTGTCCGTAGAAGTTTGCGAGTCGGTAGCTAGATGAATTCACCAGCCAAACATTGATTGCTTTTCTGCACTTTTATCATTTGGTGCGGGTCGATTTTAAGGCTACTCTACCTGCCTACAGCAGTCTCCTTTTTCAGGTACTTACCAATCGACTATTTGTATAATCTCGCATAAGTAATTTTTGGAAAGTCAGGCGCCATCCAGTATCGTTTTCCTACTTACTACACGATTTTGACAGGTTCAACAACAACAAAAACGTTGATCTAGACGCCAACTTCCAAAAATGTCGCAGTCAAGTACAAATTAAACGAAAAACTGCCAAAATCAACTCTACTATAAAAAATATACAGCAAAATATTTAGTGCACAGAAAAAGGCGCGTATTTGCACATTTTTTGGAAAATAAACCACAAAAGGAATGTTGTCTTGCATTATTTTTACAGGGAAACCGCAACGCAAAATACTCACCTTGTTTTCAGCTAGTATTTCAACATATTCGTATGTCAAACTTCAACCTCTCTTAGTTATTTGAGACCAACATATTTCCTGTAAGAACAGCCTGGCCTTTTCAAAAGTGGGTTATTTTGTTATGAAGAGAGCCATTATTTGGTTTCTAACTAGCAGACCGACTAAACCACTATTCTTACTGATTTTCTTAAGAATTCAAGGTTTAGAAATTGCATGACTATGGACTGTCCAGGACGGTATACACAGATTAAGCTTGGAGAGACTCTGACAACTCTCATTTGCAACTACGAAGACGAATCATTTTAACTGTTGATCTAGTTCATCCAACTTGGTAGTTAGGTTGCAATCGTTTCGTTACTATAAGAGAAGCCCGTTGCGTGGTTGAGCGGGTGTTTACTGCAGGTGTACTTGCTTTTGGATAGTTTCTAAAGAGTATTTGCTAACTGAAACCCTAGTGGCTCTTAAAGGTTTTGCTTGCGTATGATCTGATTGGTCCTTTCACAATCCGCGATAACTTTTGGCCCGATTTACTTACGCTTGATAGGCATACTGGTTGTCTTTACTTCGTCCCGACTGGCCTATCCATGTTTATTGTCCCTCACCTTTCGACCTGTCTTCCGCCTTCGGTCAGTCAACCGGGCGCCTTCCATGTTTAATTTTATTCTTTGGATTGGTGTATTCCCGAGTTCTGTTGAACTGTGTTTGGATGTTCTGAGTTCTGAAGTCTTCCGGAGGCACTCTTTTGTCCTAGAAATTACTTTTTATTCTTCTTCGATATTTGATCTTGGCTGTTGTTCTATGCCTTAATTATAATTTCATTGTATTCAAACAGTCTGGGGTTCTTTTGGCGATTTTTGTTCCTTTTTTACTGGCTTCTTATGTGGTTTATCCCTCAGGTTAATAGATTGGGTCTATGTGCTTTGTTGATGCGTTCCTCTTTTGAATATCCTTTCACCATAGTTTCAAGTTCCCTCATTGTTCTTATTTAAGCTGGTGTACGTATCTGACTCCAGGTAACTTGTCTCATCCGTGATCTCCGTGCACAGAGGAAAGTGAGAATTGACCGTATCTCTTAATGGCGATATAATGTTCCCGCAGTCTGATATTTTTACCCCATCAGAAACCTCGTATAAAGACTGAGATGAGTTTCGTGAAGACCAGCAATGGCAAAAACGTGTCTTGTTATTTTACAAGGAAAGCCTCTGAAGGATTTTCACCGGCTCCACTGGCAAACTCCGTCGTGATTTAGCGCACCACTTTGTACCACCGTTTTTCTCTGAAGGCATGCAGTTTAACTTATCCTTGCGGTGAAAAGGTAAACATGAGACCCGAACTTTGGTCAAAACAACACGAAAAGAAAGCAACACTGAATGTCCTACAGCGAGCATTCACAGGATACAGGCTTCAGAGGAAACAATAATAACCAGCGAATAGATGAACTAAGCCTCACCTTTTCGGGCATCTTGATTATCCAATGAGGTGGCACAACCAGTGCTGCGTGGGTGCCCATACTACACGGTTCATCAAGGAGAGAATCGTTGAAGCAGGAAGGTTTGCTATGATAGCTTGCTTTGCACCAGGTGCACTGCTTGGCCACAGCTTCCTGTGATGCACAACATTGGAAAAAAACAAAGTATAGAAACGCAGTAGGTAGAAGAAAAACCACTAACAGCTTTCTTTATAACGCGGCATTGAGATTTAGCTGATTGCATATAAAAATGGGTGGAAAAGTCTAGGATTGTCATCTTCCTACGAGACCCCAAATTGCACTACCTTAATAAATGCGACTGAAGACCACCCGCAGACAAACTGCTTGGTCACTTATATTAAAACAGAACCGGTAGATCATTGCATTTTACCATTAAGCCACACCTCATTCTTCCGGTTCTTTTTCTGGCAAATGTCTTGTTTTCTGTGACTTTAGCGTAAAAATTACGTGTAGGTATAAAATCTGTGGGTTTTTCTGGCGCGTCACCTTGTTATCTGTGGCTAATACCCGTCAACCACCCCCGTAAGTTTAAATTAGGGGTTGTAAAACACAGTGTACGCCAACTTACTCAGTAGTGTCTTGTCTTTAGACGTTCCGTGAAGAGACGTTTCATGTTATAGCTATGAGGTTCGCACACAGTTAACTATTTTGCAATTGTGAAGCGTTTTGTGGGAGGTGGAAAGTTCATGCACGTAATCACAAATGATTTTTATGAATAAGTCTAGAGATGCATCAGTTTGAATGTGTGTTTGGGAGTAGTCTGGTCGAGATATGAAGTAGGCAAATAAAGTGGTGCCCAATAATCAGATTGTGGCCTATTACGATAAGGTCAGAGCTATGCATAATTGATGCAGGAATCGACATGAAGAAATGGGTTCTTCAAAATAGGAATCTTGCAAACAGCCGTGGTCTGACAACATGAACCGACACTGCACAATTTGCTCACAGGCACTCCGCAAAATATATGCCTTTCGTGATGCTCGTGAGCAATAAGCTGTGGTTGTCGTCTGCCATTAGATGTTTGGGAGCTAACCACCTTTCAGGCCTGATGTTACTCAAGAAGTGCGGCGAAATGAAGGCAATTCACTCAGATATTCGCACTTTACCACAGTTAAACTTGTTTATCAGGGGGTAGTTGAGAAAGGCGCAACAAGTGTTGATGGCAAATTGAAGAGTTCACACAGCTTTCTATCACACTTTTTTAACAGTTGTCCACCAAGGCTGAAATACATGCTTATTTCTCAGCTTTTACAGATGAGGAAAAAGTGGTTTTTGCTCTCACAAAAATTATGACAAGGTTTACTGAGGCGATTGAAAAAAAGAAAACAGTTACAGCTATCTTAACTCGGTTTAAAGCCACTAGATTGTCATTCAAAAAACCAGGTCAAAATGGGCGGTTTAATTGGCATTTAATGAAATGGCAATTTATCAAGAAATTGGCTACGAAGTCATTTTGCTGACAAGATTATCGGACGTTTTTTTCTGACCACCTTCTTATAGCTTCCTTTGAGTTGATGAAACTTTCCTATTTTTGTATATAACTTCAATATAACCGTTGCACCGAGAACATTATTAAAAGAGCAGTTTGGCAGAGTAATCCAGGAATAAAGTTTTGTTGTAAAGAGGGCGCATTAATTCATAGGCCTATTTTTGGAAACCACTACCGGTGAACTTATATCCAAATCCACCGCGGATAAAACAGCGTAAAAGCTCAGTTGGTTGTTAATTCCTCCGCCACTCAGTATGAAGACTATACCAGACAAAGTCCACCTTTGTCGTCTTATGAGGTGATATTCATACAATAGGATGACTACACATACGATATTACTGTCTAGGAAGACTGCTTTTGTTATGACCTTTGTGAGTGACGCTTTTGTTGCTTGTCTGTTTCCTAACGATGTGCAGATAAGATTGCGTCCCAGATCTGGTCAGGTAGCAATGACGTTTCAAGACTGAAACGACCTGTTCTATCTAAGTACCGGGGATCAGTCAGTGCCTGTAGCAACGCTGAGGTGGTTTTGTCAGCAAGGGACTACAATCCAGCTAAGTGCATCAGCTGACAGTCAACCAACAACTGAAAATTATGCCAACTGAATACGACGGAGTGCTGCAACATCGGGTAAATTTGAGGACGTAATCCGATTCGGCTGGATTGAAGGTTGCGTAAACGCAACTTCATATCAACAGCAGACCAAAGTTCATCACTGCTCGACAACTTCAGAAGGGGAAATTATAACGAGTAAAGTTCTCTAATTTGAACCAGCTAACTGTTTCGGATATCCAAACTACTTGTTTCAGGCAGTGTGCCAGAATAAGTTTAATGTTTTTGGCGTTTGGCTTAAAAATTAGAATCACCGGCTACTTCACTCATGGAACACAATCGTTGAACCATTGAGCAACTGACAGCATTCTTTACCATCTTTTGGCAACAGACGAAGGTATCTTCAAATCAATACGGATAAAGTGTACGGATTAAGTTCAGAAACACAATAATTCGGCAAAATCTGACGTTGCATTTAAGCGGCTGAGCATGATACATTATTAACGTCTTTGTCATTGAGTAAATGGAACGCTGGATTCGGAGAAAAGTCTTTCCATCCCAAAGAGAGAGTGGAATTAGAACACACTGATTTGCAAATTAGAATGGCGTTGTAGAGGAGACTCAAATGAATCCCGGCTGAATCTCTTTTTTGTGTCATTTTTTAACTGTGTGCTATTTGAAGGCTCCCTTAGGCTTCGGTGTGATATTCGTGATATCTGATGAGCTCCAATAAAGCTGGAACAAGTATCGAACTATCAAAAAGCATTTAGTAACCTCAACAGTAGTGTGATTTCTCAAGGAATTGGAATTCTCCCAGCAAAATGGAGGAGGAAATGTTACGAAATTTACGAAATCACATTTCGTAATTGCAGACCCGGATACGTACCGTAACATAAAACAAGGGCGACTGTACGAAATACCGTAACACATGTACACACGGGGCC